AATGAAAAAACAGGCCGGGACCTGTGTCAACCATGACACCAAGAACCGTCCGCGTGTTTTCGTAACGTATCAACGGGAATCGGCAGAATAGAGAAAAAAGCGCGTGATTTCGTTTCGTGGTTCGCCGCGCCGTCCGCCATCTATTTTTTACGCTCGCGTTACAAACGTACGTCTTCCTCCCCCATCCTCTTTCTCTTGCCTTTTTTCTATCACGCTCGTAGGGCGAATATTCCGCTTAATCGACGAGAACAAAATAAGAAGAAAAAAAATAAGAAAAAAATAGGAAGAAATGAAATGAATGTTTAATCATTCCGAGCAACGTTTTAACGAAGGCGCCAGCCGCGTAGTCTCGTATTGTATTGAGATTCTAAAGAGAATCGAAGAGCATCGACTCGAAGCGAGAAAAGAATCTTTGTGTTTCTGTGGGAAACAGACAGATTTGACAAAGATCGTTGATTCGTTTCGAACGGCAGAACGAGGTTTGTCTCGGATTTCGCGGATTCTTTGTCCTTCGCGAAAAGCAGCGAAGCACGATCGCGCATTTCCTTGAAACGAGATTACCCTGTTTCTCTTGGTTCCGAATGGCTCGCTGCGTGAATACACACTACGTACGAGCACGCTTCGCGCAAAATAAGCTCGAGGCAAGAGCAAATGTAAAGGGTACGATCGCTGGTCGAGGGCGTAATTTGCAGCGCGCGTAGAATTATCGACGTTTCGACCGTTGCGATTTCGTGAAAAGAGATTGTACAACTCGAACTCGAAGCTTGAAACCTCTGCTCTCAGGATGAATCGTTCATGATGTGTTTAGAGTACGTGCCACTCATTTGGAGGGACTTATAAGAAATACGATTTTTCTTTTTAAACATATTGTTTCGTTTAATCGTGCGCAACAATTGTATCTTCAATCATTTGCGAGATATTTGACGAAATATCTTCCGGACCGAGGGTAGTTTTTTCTCAACTTCAACATTGACAATTGCCGGTAAAAAAAAAAAAAAAATACATTTATGCCAAATTTCATCGAAATCGGTGATTGAAACCTCGACATGTTCCCTTGGTATACTGATAAAAATATTTTTTCCAAAGATTTATTAATATAACTATGTATCTTTTTTATTATTATTATTATTATTGCATCGTGTAGCTGGTGAAAAAATATGTTCACACATGTAAAGGACATGACCTTGAAATTTTACTCATAAATTTACCTCTATCGGGATCACAGAGCTTGGCCAAGACGCGGCAATCGAGAGATTATTATTTATTATAATAAATAAAGTCAATAGTCTGTTCTAAATAGTCTCTTTCAATAGCTCGAAATCAATGTGTCGAAATTTGTCAGTAATTCATAATACTCGACGATGACACTCATTTATGGTAAAAAGTAGTGTAGTATGGCATAGTAATGTACAATATGATAAAGAACAGTGGAGATTTCCGATTTCATTCTTGCTTGCAAATATAAGAACAATTACAGACAGAAGAAATCGGAGACCGAGACCGAAGGATAATTTTCCCTGAGCAAGACCTGTTGAACACGGGACCAGGTCTAGACGAGCGCATCGATCGAGATTCCATCTTCCGGTGGATCTCACCTCGGCGTCACGTTCCCTCGCAGCATCGATTTTCAATATCGCGACCGTCGCTGGACCCTACTTTATCATGGCGATGGGAGATGAAAGTTCCGCCGTGGAAAAGTGAAGCGAAGACAAAGGACACACAGATCGATCAGGCCGCCGCCGCTCGGTTTTCGATTACGGTGGCGCGGAGCGGCGCCTGAGATCGCCTCGGCCTTTCCAATCGAAAAGTTTTCGCGCCGCGGCTCGTTTCGCGGGGTGCAAAACGGAGCTTATGCGAATGAAATTCACGTTTGCCCCGGAGGATATTGTGGTTCCACCATTGTTCTCCCTTTGTTCCGCGAGAATCACTTCGCCTCCGCAAATCTCTCTCCCCTGCCGCTGTTTAATCAAAAGGATTTCCATCCCGTTTCGATGTCTAACGTAAAATCGAGAGAGAGAGAGAGAGAGCGTGCAGCCGATACGGATGTATCAAGTTCGTCGAGATTCCAAATATTTTTCAACTTCGTTTCAGCTGCCTCCGAGGGCAGAACGTTTACGGCGTGCGAAAGCTGTGAAATGACCAGAGAGAATTGCATGCAAAAGAAACGTTCGTTGTTTAAAGCTGAAATTTAACGTGTATCGTTTAAATGAAAAATCTAGCTATTTAACGATACAACAGCGCCAAGAAGCTAAATTTCGTACGAAATAATCATAATCGCGGTGCGTCAAATATTTGCTGGGATCTCGGTTTCGGCCAATCGAACGCACCGAAGAAGCTAAAATCGTCAAGTATCCCGACGTATATTAATTTGGCAAAAACATCTCGCTTCGATAGATCGAGAGCGGGCAATCAATCGACATTTTCCGTCCGCGTAACTCGTAAATTCATTTATAGCGATTATTAAACGCCGATATCAGATATCGGCGAAGTGCGACGGAAAAAGAACGCGGATTTTAATTAAACTCGCGCATTCGCGTTCGGAGAAAATTTCGCATATGCATATCATTAACTCTCGTGTGTTATTCGCACGTGATTATTCGACCGAACGAATCGTTTGATCGTTCGGTCAATTGACTTCGACGAGACCGGATTAGCTCCGCGGTGAAGCTTCTCCGGCTCTGTAACGAAAATATTCGTGAAACGTGGCCGATTGATCCGAGGTTGAAGTCCATCGAATTCACGGCTCTAGATCGATCGTAATGGAATTAAGGTGAAGAGGCTGTGAGATAAAAGAGAACGGGAGAAGAAAAGGCGAGCGATATCCATCGAAATCCATCGCGAAGCGAATCCGTAAAAAATGGTACCATTCGGGACACGAGATTTTTCCATCTTGGAATGGTCTTTCGGCTGGAGTGAACTCGATTCACTCTGTCAAACAGGTGAATGCCGGTAAATTATTCGCAATCATTTCCTCGAGCATTGTTCGCAATTTTCATCGACGGGGGAAGAACGGGACAGGACAGAAGAATGCGGGTATTCTTGATCGACGATTGCAGCCGTGGAAAAGAAAAAATAAGAAATGGAGGATCTCGGCGAGAAGATTTCTCTCCGGGTCTCTCTCTGTGCGTAACGTTTCACACGTTCCGATTATCAAGCGCGAAACATCGATATTCCATCCGAGCCGCGGGAATCCCGCTAACGAGTTGCAAACCGCGTCACAACTTATAATTATTTACGAACGAGAAGATGTTCGCAACCTCGAAAAGGTACGGACAAACGATGTTAATTAAAAACTAACGCTTTCGCGAGAGCAAGAAACAGAAGGAAGTTTCCAACGCGACAATGAATCTCGAGAGAGATTGGTCGTTTTTGAAAATTATATGGACTCGGACTTAACAGGTATTCAATAATATTCAATAAATTACATAGGACGGGCCGAAAAAAAAATTTTTTTTTTTTTTTTAATAAAACATCAAAGTATAAGAAACAACTAATTTTATTGATTTTAAATTAAATTCAAGTTCAAGCATGATTTCTTCATTGTATTTTAGAAATCTGTAAGAAAAAGAAATTTAAACAAATATATAAAATTACGGATTTATTTTAGTACGAAGCGATTTTTCGGCCCATCCATGTAACTTTGATTGCAGCTGAACCGCACTCTGTGAGTATTGTCTGAACCGCGCTGTGATAAATTCCACTTCGATGTTATACTTTCGATATATACGGAAAACTATTGTTCTTTATCGACGATGAAGACTACTACTATCTCTGTTGATCAATTAAAACTACCTTGCTGATTCGTTGAGACTACACGAACCTGTTCTATATGAACAGATTATAGTAATTTCCACTTAATTCTGCAAATTGTGTCAAAATATCGTC